CTGTGGCCTAGGCTGTTGCGAGAAAAGTTTCACCTACCTGACCACAGCTGCGATAGGTGAAAGGCCTATATCTTGGAATCGAATTTGGTGTTGTTTACACTGGTGATTCTGGAATACACCCGGGTTGTCCTACGCTGAATGCGTCCCACACATCGATCCTGGGATGTTTGGCAACCCAGGTTGTATATTTTGACGTTTACACCAACCATAACAATTTGGGAGTTTCTAGCCCGGGTATTGCAAAGTTCCAGGTTGTGTCTGGAGTTTTGCTTGCAGTGTAAAGGGGTATAAGATTCATCTACAATTCTTTTATGTGTCTATGGTAGCACAGAGCCTCTTATTAACTTTTCATATACTTGTTATACCAAGAGTTAGATGTACAGTAGTCATTTCTCTCCAACATTAAATACCTAATGTATTAGACAAAAAATATACTGTATTCATAAAACATTTGCATTGTTGGTAATAGGAACAGTCATGTACATTCGATAAATGGCTTTCAACTGAAACTTAAATGAGAAATACCGTCCTCAATGATTTTATTTGACAAAAACATGTAACATACCTAAATATGGTCATGTTAATATCATATCATGACTATATATGGGCATACAACAGTTTTGATACTGTGGACAGAGCTTTATGAACAAATGAGCTTTGCGGACACTTGTTATACTTCAGTCAGTAAATTTAGAAATTTTTGATCCAGGTCTTATTGAATGTTGTTTTATGTTATTTCTTTTAAAATTAACAATTTTCAAAGACTTCTTGGGTGGCAGTGTATCTTTCAATGATAATGTGAAACATGTACTGTATATTAACAGTAAAATGAACAAATGCAGTGGAGGTGAATAGCTTACTGGTTAAGATGCTTTGCCTTCTAGCCACAGGGTCCTGGGTTAATAATAATAATAATAATAATACTGTAATTTGCAATTTGTATAGCGCCTCCCGTTGGACCAACCTCGAGGCGCTTGACAACAAAAATAACCACAAGCCTAGACGTCTAACCGAACCGTTTATCGGCAATTTAAGGCTAGCAGGGTTTTTTCAAACGACTAAAACAACTCCCTAAAGCCTCATAAAGATACTACGCTGGAAAAAGCATTACATTATTTCATTTATCTGAGTGGGCCCCTGAACATCACTTTCTTCTAGGATACACTGGAAAGGTCACCCTCTATAAATATTCTGAAATAAAAAAAGCATTACAAATAGCTTTCTCTGTAAAATGATAAATCTAATGTTATTAATCTAAAAATGTATACAGCTGCATATTTTACACTTCGTGTCATCGGAAATATAAGGAAATAGCACATTACGCCTGGACACTCTTACGAGTACAGTCAAGTAATACAAAGAGCATCTTCACAAGCACTACCATGGCTTAGGACGAGTACTTTGAGCTCTCCAACATTATCTTAACATGTCTACTCTGCTACTTAGAGGCAATCTTGTTTTAATTATAAGGACCTGGCCATGGATGTTTAAAAATGCAGAACAGATTTTAGAACCTAGTGACCTTTTACCTATTTCTATTAAGGGCTAAAATTGACATGCCCTATTTTTAAACCAACCGTTTTACTTGTGTATGGGGTTTTTGATTTGAATCTATTTACTACTATTATAATTATAATACATAGTTTCTGACCAATTGGTAAAAAACAAAATTAAAATAAAACAAAATTTCACCTATTTTTATTAAGGTCTAAAATTGACATGCCCTATTTTCAAACCAACCGTTTTACTTATGTATGGGGTTTTTTAATGATTTGAATTTATTTACTACTATTATAATTATAGTACATAGTTTCTGACCGATTGATAAAAAACATAATTAAAATCAAACAAAATAACAATGGTCTGACAGGCAAAGATAGTACAGCATTATGCTCTAATTTTAGAGTTACTGACCGATTGATAGCAACATAATTAACAATGGACTGACGAGCAAATATACTAAATGGATCTATTAATACTGTTGTATGGTTAGAGTTATGGACCAATTGATAGCAACATAATTAAAATTGAACAAAATAACAATGTACTGACAAGCAAAGATACTACATTCTACCAATTGTTTGTTTATATCATTTAAATAGCGCATTTTCTTAACCCCACCTAGTACCCATTTATACTCCTGGGTAGAGAGAAGCAAAAAAGATGCAAGTGAATTGCTCATGAAATGTATAGCAACGGATTGAAACCCCAACCTCAAGGTTGGGAAACCAAGCCGTTCCCACTGTGCCAACCATGTCATTTTAATAAATTGTATGTATGCATAATGTATATCTTTGCATAATAATATCTGTGAGCCTACAATGGTATGGTAATAGTTGGAGACTTGTGTGAACTACAATCACCCTATTTTTTTAAATTTCCTTCAACAGGAAATTGAGTGGAGTTGAATAGCTTTTTGTGGTTAAGATGTTTGCCTTCCTATCCCAGTTTCAAAGGTTCAATTCCTGTCACAGATGCAGGATTTTTCTGACAACTAAAACAACTCCACTTCCTAAACCTCCCATTGATATTTACTGTGTGTAAAGCATTTTCTTGCGAAAGGGTTGTTACCTACAAGCAGGACAGTGATATATTCCTGCTGTGACAGCATTTCGACTCGCAACCCTAGAAGAGACACACTCTGCTAGGGTGGTCACATGATGTATAATGGGCTTATTCAGGGGCGGATCCAGAATTTTTCTAATGGGTGGGGGTGGAGGGAGCACAACAGTTTTAGAATAGGTAAGTGAGTAGCACCGGTAGCACACAACATTGATTTGCATTGAAATTTTTAAAATTTTGTGGCAAAACGGGGACACTTGTCCCCGTGCCCCCCACTGGATCTGCCCCTGTTATTCAACTGGTTCATTTCGTTGACAACGAATATTAACGTTGTTATCCATGTGACCAAAACAAGCATAGCCGATTGGTCAGTTTAGCAACAACATTTGCGTTAATATAATTTAGATTAAATCTACCCACATGAAGTCAAAATATAATTGTAGGCTAACAGAATTCAAAAACTGGATGAAAACATTTTTTTTTACGAAAAACCCATACTGCCACAAGTCGAAGCAACATTGATTACATAGCGTGTATAGCAGTAATGCAGCCTTTCTGTTTTGTCAAGTATTTTCAAGTTATGTAGGATTTCACCCCTGTTCAGGTGTAGTGGGTGTGGTTTAATGAAGAACGACCAGTCGAATATGGCCAGTGGGTGTCAATTGTAAACAGACAGCACGAGTGACGCTTAGTAATAGGAAAATGTGTGGCTTCTTCGGAGTGTTTCTGCTGTAGAGCATATATTTGATGTTGAATAATCTTGGTTGGAGTGCCAGTAAACTATACCAAATTGATTGGAAATTGAACTTGAGAATTTTGCCATAATGGTTTGCTAATGCTCCAAAAGATACTGGCCTTAAACATTGAGATTTTTCGAGAAATGCTAGGCCTAGGTCCCTGCACATCTACTGCCTGTTTAGAGTCTTTGATCTGCGAATTTCGAATTTGACACACTACGATATCTAGGCTAGCTAAGATTTACAAAGGATCACATAAATTCCAAAGCATACAAAGAACATTGAATGCTAGAATATTAAGTAAATAAACACTATTTTGAACAATCCTAGTGCCTTTCCTTGCCAGTTATTTCTCCCGTTAATGGTGGGCGGTTGTTTTCCTACACTTTGTAACACTGATTACACTGTAAATTCTCTATAGTAATACCCACTTTGTCATTTGACCGGTTGTAAACAAACCTCACGAAATGTGTCTATTGGAAAGCAAACACCTTAGCTTAGCTTTTAAACTCCACTCTACTACTAATAATGCAATCAAGGTATTTTGTAATTGACTGTGCCAGTATGAAGCATTTCAACAGTAAACAGTGCTAGGGGATATAATGAAGCAAGACACACACTGTTCCTATGGGACAAGGCCCAATGACTTTTAATGACGATCTGCTAACACTGCCATCGGCAATCAGCAGATGGTGTCAAGTCGTTTTATACTTGCAGAGCCCCTTTGGGTTAGGGCTTCCTTCCCTTGCTGTGCATTTCGCCTGTGTCCTTGAGTAAGGTACTTTATCTGCATTGCTCTCTCCATCCAGGAGTATAAGTGGGTACATAACAAGGTTCAAGTGCAAAATGCGCTGATATATGGAAACTATGGAATTTACCCCGTAGGCGACATTCAACTGGAGTAATAAATGTAGAAAAGCACTGAGAGTTATGTAGAGCGCTATATAAAAAAAAACTACATATTATTATCACAGTGCGGATATAAATTTATCAGAGTGTGCTCAGCTTAAGAGTACCACCACATCACTATTTCATAACTTTAAATAGGTCATGTAAATATAGAAAATAAAAACATTAAATTAATATTTTAGATAATTTGTTGCTAAAATTTAAGAAAATTTATTTAAGGGACATTTCAAATGTATGTAAAATGACTTGTCACTGGTATGTTTACTCTCTCCTGCTACATGATCTTTTCTGCTACATGATCTTGTCTGCTACATGATCCCATGTTTTTCTTTGTACCGTCTAAAAGTGAAGCAGAAAAGAGTCAAAATGGTTAAATATATACATTATTACAAATTCAAATCATCTATTTTCATCTTACACTAGCCACAAATCTGTTAATACAATGGCATGTTTTAAAAGAGCCTAACATGAGAGTAGTCAACTAATGGACCATTACATAAAAACATCAATATTTGGATGTCTGAGCAGTTAAGACAGAGGCACCGGAACATATAGCCACATACTATACTGGTGCTGGTTGGAACTTGCACGCTCGCCTATGGCTCTGGTGGCAGAACAAGTCTTCTCGGACAAGGACTAAACCATAGGTCCAGTGTATACACACAATTTTGCTCATGTGCACTTTAAAGAACCTAGTAGATCTTTTGAGACGAGTAGAAGGTTACCCCTCTTGTGGACAGATGAGAGTAGTACAGTATGTACCAGTTTAGCGGGTAGCACAGACACAAAAGGCAAATTACTGTAAAGTGCTAGTCCACAATTCGAGTGCTTTATAAATATAACTACATTACATTACCAATACAATTAAATGAAATACAGTATTCTACAAACAGTAACTTTAAAGCAAATTACACTGAATTGCTTATGATTGTTAAGAGAGCTTTAGAATGTCTGTAATATCTCGAGGGAAGAATACAGTTAGAAGTTGGAGGATGAGGAAGGTACAAAATAGTAATGGATAAAAGACTTACTGGCCTGGATGTTTTTGCTTACCTTCTAGCATTATCGAGTAAAGCAGATTTTCTTTCTTCAAATGATCTCATTCGTTCGTTTGAATTTCTACTAAATTCAGCTGCAGCATACTTGGCAGACTGCCAGAGATAACAGAAAAAATATATGTTATAATATCAAGTTACAAAATCTGATTATAAAAATATAAATACCATTAACACTAACCAAGAACATACAGTATCTACAGGGGTAAGATCCTGTTCCAAGATGCAGATAATTATTATTACTGGTAATTTAATACTCACACAACTCCAGCGAACTACGTCAATGACATCGTAACACCGTCATTGCCGATCAAGCAGTCAACATGGCAAAGTGCCTCCTCAGCTAAGCTACAGTTTGCATTGCATTTTCAACTAAATTTTTAACTTTGCTTTACAACACTGATTCATATTCAGGAGTGGCGCTAGTGGGGGAGTCCGGGGGTAAAGGACCACCCGCTTGGACCCCCTGCCGGAATTTACAGCAAGGTCAGGGAAAAATCAAATCTTGAGCACCAAAGGCTCTTTCCCGACAGGGAGTTAGAACCCCTGACAGGGGACTCGTACTCCTGACAGGGGGACTCTTAACTTGTTTGGTTTCTATCAAATTATCTTTGAAATAAAGAATCCCATAATTAACACAAAATTTTATTATTTTCCCAGACAGATTAAATTTTATCTCCGACCGGAGAAGAGGGGGTGGGTTGACAAGTGGCCCACCCCCTATAGGAGGGCTTGGACCCCTCGTCGGAAAATTTCTGGCACCGCCCCTGATCATATTAAATGTTTGCACTGTATTTAAAAAAAATATACAGTACTTACGATAATATATTGTATGTTTTTATTAGGTTTTTAACGAAAAAAGTAGGTTCTAATACAGTAGTTGAAAATGCTATGATAAACTGGCTAGCTCTAGTGGCACTCACCTTCAGCATCCGCTTGGTAAGTAGTTGCTCAGTAACAGAACAATGTCACATGGTAACAATGCGGTGTTATGATGTAATACACCATGTGCAACTTGGGGAGTGTACCAACTTTCCAACATTAACAAAATTATTTCAGCTTTCTTATTTGCTACTAGCTGTTCATAAATTATTAAGTTTGCTCTGTCATACTTGATTTTATTATTCTACTACTGCCTAGAATAGACACAATCGATAACTCCTGTGAATTTCAGTGGGTGCTGGATTAGCAAAGACAGTGAGCGATGCAGTGTATATGATCGAATAAAGATGGCTTCTTTGGAGTGTTTAAGCAGTATAAAGACATATCGTTGAAAATGCTACAAAATTTGCATTGTCAGAATGTTTTACTAATGCACCAAACAAAAGTGGTAAATAATTTTAGTTTTTAAGGAAGAGAGTAATCGATAGCTGCGGCCGGATTTCCATAGCGAAATCTGCGATCGAACCCACTGTGTTTCCAGATTACTGTAGTTTTAAGATCTTGAATTCCAGAGCATAAATTCCACAAAACAATGCTAAGATTAGAAGTATTAAAACACTGCTTTGTACAATCACACTGCCATTGATAGACATAATTCTTGTCTTGTCCACACTGTCAAATTTTATTTGACAAAAATATGTGGCATATCTAAATATGGTCATAATGACATCACATCATGACCATATATAGGCACATCATGGCCATATATAGACACATTATGACATGGACATACAACAGAGCTTTTATACAGTTACATTGACAACACTGCATTCTACATCCAGCGAAATTAAATCTTATCACCACTACAAGTTTGGGGGTCACTGATCTGGTTCATAAAATGCTTTCACATTTATATGTTGCTGTTGTAGCATATGTGTAAAAAGACTTACCCCTGGTGGTACTATAGGTGGTAATTTAGACGTTGACGATACTGTTGCTTCACTACAAGAGGGTGGGTTTGTCTCAGGTGTATAAGTAACTTTCTTTTCCAGGATATTTGAAATTGTTAGATCAACACTATTTGTTTCAGCTGAGGAATCAAAAAGAAATTCAATACACAATAAATCGTTGAAAAAACATAACTTTGGTGAAAGAAAAATCAGATTGAGTACAGACATGCCAAAACAAAAAATATTAAGAATATATATATATTTGATACAATTTCTTAATGGAGAATTTTGTCAGCATATTAAACCAAAATCAAATAAAACGTGCCTAGAATCTAATGAACTCAACATAAAAGATGAAAAAAGTGTACCCTGTATGTTTACTAAGGTACAGTACTTTTAACTGGATTGTAGATTCTATTTAACTGAAAATCAGGTAATTTTACCTTGTTTTTGAAAAGTGAAGTTGACTGCATTTTCATTATATTTAATCAACAACCTGCATAATATTGGCTTATACATTTATTTTATTTTGTCTCAACTTGCATATACTTTCTGATTGATGCTTTAAAATAGGTTAAAAATCATTTTCATCTGACACTACATAGTTATTAGGCCCTGTTCAGACTAGAAAATTCTATTTGACAAAAACATGACATGCCAAAATACAGTCAAGATGACATCACATCAAGACTATTGGCACATCATGACTATATATGGGCAAACAACATTTTTTTGTCAAAGAACATTTGGTTCTGGACAGCAGTGTTCTCCCAATTGAAACATTTTTACAGGTAAAATTGTTCATAACAATTCAGCTTTGCATGCAGTGTGAGGCGTTATCCCTTTTGAGTGGGGTTTAATGACTTGAAAAAAGCAATTAGGTATGGACTGGAATGATGTCCATTTAATTGAAAGAAGGCCAGCCTAGACTACCTATAGGACTAATCAGTGGTTTTATTTTTTTATTTTACATTCTCAGAATTTTTACTGGTTGGTCAGTTATTTTTAGCAGTAAAATTGACTGCTAAAACAGCTTCTGGCGAACACTGGTCAGAACTTAACGCTTGTTTGTTGCTTTGCATCATCTGAAAAACTTGTGAAACCAAATGTGTGATCATTATTTAGCACTGTATTTATCCCTTCATGGTCTTACCTATATCCTGTAATATAACATGGATGGGGACATCCATTAGAACCTCTTTAACTTGCTTAGCCATTCTAAGGTGTGTTGAAGATGTTGACGATGCTACAGGTGATGGGCTCGCTGTTAATCTTGCCCCTGCAGTACATAAGTTAACATTTGAGCATACATCTAAAATCACGAAAATACTCCTCGGGTATTATAAGACCACCCCCTACCTTTGAACACGATAATTGGGCTGATTTTTGGTGGTGGGTTAAACCCAGGAAATCCCTTTTTCGCAATAGATGACAATTGTTTGCAAGTGTTTGTCAATTTTTTTTAATGTTTTTTTTACACTGACAGAAAAATATAATGGCAGGCAGTGCAAAAAGATTCAAATGCAACTCTAGAATCAGCCAAACCATACTGCACTGTAAAACGACCATAATGTGCACAAGAACAATAACGGTGCAAGTTAAGGGTTATTTTCACCTTTACTTTTAGTTCACCATTTGAGGCATGCCATTCCAAAACCAGTTTTTTGTCACTATATGTTAAACTGAGTAATTAGCATAAGAATGGTAATTGTTATTATCGAGATGGAACGCACAATAAACTGGATTTGCGTCAGAAGAATCAAGTATAGGTGTAATTTTGCCCAACTCAACATGAAAATGTACTGAATACCCAGTACGTGTGGAAACACTTGCGAAAAAAAGAGTTGTTTTCGGGTGGGACTCGAATCCACAATATTTTTTGCAAGTTTTTTTTAAATTCAGGTTTTCACATCAGGTTAGGCAAAATCACACCTATAATAGAAGAATGTTGTAGTATTTTATACTTCAGTACACATAAGCCATAATACTTTTACTCATAATTTTGGCAACAGTAAGTCGATTACAGTAAATGACCCATCATTTTAAAGCTTAAAATGTAGGGAATAAGAATATATGAAGGAGTCAATTTAGTTCTTTTGCTTTTGGGATGGTATGCCCCATTTAAACAAGTTTTTTAATATCTTCTAACCTGATGGATGTTGAAAGAGCATTCTTTTTGCATATGCTACTTTGTCGGCACTCGTATGAATAGTTGCCAATATACTCAATTTTTTCGCCATTATTGTTTGTACTTTTCGGGCAAAATCCTCTACACTTTCCGACTCCTCTTTATGAACAACTGGTAAAAATCTGTTTCAGAAAAAATAAAAGGGTCATTAAAAATCAAAATGAACAATTTCAATAATAACCATATATATATTCTTTAATGTGTGTATTTTAATTTAATTATTTTTTATTTATTCTGGCAATACAATGAACAATAAAACATTTATAAATAAAAACAAATCAAAAATTCACAAACATAAAGAAAAATAGGTGAGCCAGGGAGCAGCAAAAGCGAAACCACTTTCATCTTAGAGATGTGCTGCTCCCACATTTGTTAAGGTAATAAAAAAATAATAGGCCTGAAACAAAAATTTATGTTTGGACTGCAATTAAAAATTGCATTAAGAATATGAAGGCATTGTGGTAAAAACTGAAATTTAAGATGATTTTGAGTAATTCACACGTACAATTTTTGATAGAATCAACTACAATATTCAAATACAGGGCAGAGGTATGCATTCTATGGAGTGACTACTCTAGATAATGATATTATGAATATGATGAAAGATATCTATTGTCAATGATTAAGTTTGCAAACAGATCTAAATATGTTTCAGTTTGGATATTTTGGTTTTTGATTGACACCTATTATAAAAATATTTACTGGGTTGAGGGGCATGGTTAAAATTATAGCCCGAGGTGATCTGGATGCTGTAGTATGTCCTGAGACATGCGTGTGTGCACATGCGGATGCCGAGACAACCGTTCAAGAAGAAAATGCAAGGAACATAGTACAGCCTCCAGATCACCAAGGGCTATTGAATTATGACCGGACTAAAATCCCAGTATTTGTATTATCTACCACTACATAATCACTGTTTACATGGCTTCAAGATATTCTTCAAATATTCGAACGGCATACTTAATTAGTTTTTAACGCTGCTTAACTCACTAACACATCTCATGTTCGTCAACCAGTTTAAATCTGGAACACTGCCATTGTTATTCCCTGCCTACCAGTATGCAGCGTGGAGAAAAGCGATTGTTAGATTCCCAGTCATCAAATTAAGTCAAATTTAATTAAATTAGTAGAACAAAAAAAACAAAAAGAAACAAAAAGACTATTGCCCTGCTAGCCGGGCATGGCTTAAAATGTTGCCCGGCTTTTAACCAATCAAATGCCTGGAATCAATGCAGTCGGTATATAAAATTTAATGACTGAAAGACAAGACAGACATAGTGAAGGACAGAGAAAAAAAAAATTACTTCTTACTTCAAATGGATAACTGTAACAGGTACAAAGAAAAACCACCAAATATCTTGCCACCATCTACTTCCCAACACTTCTAAGCTGACAGCAAAAAAAGGCCGTCTGGCTGTCACTACAACTGGTTGAACTGGCTGGTCAAGGGAAAAAGACCAAGAACTGGACAGAAAAAAAATTTTTATTTTTTTTATTATCGAGACAAAAAAAGTAACCAATTTTAAAACAAGCCCACACAATTTACCTGACTTATGATTTTTCCCCGACTACCTTGCTGGTAATTCCCCGGCAGGGGGTTCAAGCAGGGGTCCAGAGGTCCCCAATGCAGGTTCTTTTCCCCCCAGACCCCCACTAGCGCTGCCCCTGATTAGATCAGGTCTGTACAATTACAGGGGTCCACATTGCGTTCTCCATGAGATCATGTCTCCTGAGGACCATTGATACAGTGTGTGCCCGGATTTTGATTCGTGTGTATTAGAGCAGCTATGTACAACTACCCACATCAATCAAAGCAATTTCTAGTTTTCATTTATTTAAAGTAAATATAAAAAATCACCTTGCCACTTGTACCATATGAGACTACCTTAAAATATAATCATCTTGCTTGTAATAACATTCTCCTCCCCAATAAAGATCCTTTTTTTTTCATATAATCCGTTTGTTGTTTATGGGTCATCCTTGGCTTTTTTTTCTTTTTCGCTTTTGGTTTTAAGTCTTGTAAATTGATGTAACGCTTGATATTTGCTGTTTTATGTCTCTCTGTCGATTGTTGATGTTTTCAATTTAATGACTGGATTTTATTGTAATTGTTTTAATATTTAATGACCGGCTTTTATTGTAATTTGATATTGGACGCATTTTTTCATGCATTTTAATTGTGTGTTTTGTTGTCTATAAAGCCGAATAAAATCAAAACAAATCAAATCAGGGTTCCTAAGTCTCCAAAAAATCCGGACCGCCTCCCGCACTCCAACAACCAAGCAAAAACCTCCCGGAAAATAACTCATCTCATGCAAATTAATTAAATCTGCATGTTTTTACAACTATTATTCCCCCTTTATTATCATTTGTCTCCATAAAGTGTTGATCCGGGTATCACCTACAGAAGCAAATAAAATTGTGCTAAAACAGATCTGCCAGAAACGACTTCTTCCCACTTGGAACCTGAGCAGTTACAAGGAAAAAGGTAATTGTGCTCTGGTGTACATATTTGCAACACCAATATCCTTTCAACGCAAACTCTGGTAAACCTAAACTACAAAGATTATTGAGGCAGAAAGTGAAACGAGTACCTATATTTAAGTAAACCATGCCTTCCATTAGTAACTGCACCCTCTGGAAAGCTGAGAATTGGTAGTTGATGAGTTAGGCAGTGCTGTTTTACAGTTTGAATCAGAGTGTCCCTGCCCTGCTTGGCTCCCATTTCCCTAAACCCAAGCAGCCACGTCAAAACAGAAGGAAGATTCCACACACTTGGCTGAAAGGAAAGCAAAATACATCCATCCATTAGAGTATGGCAGCAGCATTTTTAAAGTGTTAGCTTAATGCTCCCTTTATACAGTGAAATGCACTGCTCTTCAATCTTCATCATTTGTCATCCACTTCAAACTTGAATATTATATAATTATCTATTTATTATACTATATTTTAACTCTTACAGCACAAAACTAACTAGAATAGGCCCTCTGTGTACAGTACAATAATACAAAACAAAAAGGTACAGTACATCAAACAAACAAGAAAAAATAAATAAATAAGTAAGACACCAGGCAGCAGAGAGCAACGGAATATGAAGAGGATTATTGATTGATTTTAAGGTAGGATTTTAGTTGTAATTGAAAGGATAAGAGAGTAGAATCATTAAAGAATGAGAGAGAATTCAGGAGAGAAGTGGCTCGATAATGAAATTATTTTTTGAAATGTTCAAGTTTGGAACGAGGAACAACAAATTGAGGAGAAGACTGATATCTAGTCTGTAGGCCAGACCAAAATTAATTGGATTGCTAGAGCCCTAGCTTTTTTATAGAGACCACAGTCGTGTCGTCACAACACCAGGTGGCGCCCTCTGGACGTTGGTTACCGTTCATTTACGCATGAATGACTACATAATCCTAATGGTTTAGAATAGGCTTTCTGGAATAGGCATTTTAAAACCTAATAATTTACCATCAAAATGTACTAAAAACACAAAAAGCTCGCATTATTATTATCGAACACACATTTAATCATCAATTAACATATACATGGATCAATGGTTTGTCAGTGGTGAAAATGACATCGGTTGAATGCATTTTGTGTCGCCGATAGCAACGAAGTAGTATCATGTGGTATCGTGACGTAACACTGTAGTACTCTATTGACACTTTAATAGTATTATTTGTTGTTTATATTTTCATATATGAGGCTTGCCATGTCAAAACCAGCATCAGTAACAAAAACATAAAAATTTACTTTTTCTTGCATATTCATATTCGCCACATTATAGGCTTTAAAATGATTGGTCATTTACGGGAATCGACTTACTAACACCAAAGTTATGAGTACAATTATGGCTTCTCTTTACTAAAGTACAGTATACAATACTGCCACTTTGTTATTCTAATTACTGAGTTTGAGAATCAGCGACAGTATTCTGGTTTGGGGATGACGAGTCTGATATTTGTAAATAACATGAAATCAGATCAGATAAGTTATAAAAATTCCTTTGGTTGGATTTATTAGGTGTGAACACCAAGGATAACCCACGAAAGTTTGAAGAAGACTTATTTCCAGTGGGGGTTCTTCTGGTGGTGATTGTGTAGTACACCGGGAGACAATCCCCTACTCTTTTTAGAAGAGTGTACTGTTCTTTAACATGCACACGTCTCCTCCAAAAGACGGTGTGCTATCGTAAGTTGCATTCCAGCCCTCCAGCTGAAATACAAGGAGAGCACCCATGGGAATTGAACAGGGGACCAATTACAGATCTCCACAATTCAGCACACACAGTGGCTACCACCAGTTTAGCCAACTGAGCTTAGCTGCTCTAACTTAAAACCTGTGGCAATATGCCTATGGAAGAAAAAATTCTGCTTGTTCTATTTATCTGTAAAAGTTTTTTGCAATTTAAGCCATCAAAGATTATGATTATTTTCATAAGGTACAAAATAGGTCACTCGATGTCGGAGATAAATGCAGAATAATTTTACATGACAGCATCTGTATTCAAAGTACATTAATACAGTACACCTATGCCTACTAAAAATATGAACATTCTGTTCCCTCATCATTACATTGGCTGTAATAAACATACAAAACTTACTATAACCGATGGCAAGATGAGATCAATAGCAGCGTGATCTAACGTTGAAACATGATTGGCCACAACAACTCTAACGTTGCGGTCGCAGTCCTCTAAACCCTCTTGCGTCACACACAAGCCAAGAACAAGAGAGAAGACACGCAAAACATACCTAAATTTAGATAAAGGTAAAACTTATACAAGAAATAAACATACAGTAGTAGAGCATCCTTTGGGACACCTCTATTAACACTATGCCTGCCAAATTAGTAATGCATTGCTTGACCGCCAAACACGGAGATCTCCGTGTTTCAGGTTTTTTTTACGGATTTCGATAGATGAAGTAATTACCGACATTGCACTAACAATTTAAATACTATATTCAGTCTGGACCGTAAGTATTTCACTATTTGCTTGTTTACATTGAACGTAGCGGTATTGATGTACTTTCACGAAATCGCGATTATCTCAGCTTCGTTGTGTGAAATTGCGTAAATCTCCAAAAGTGAGTCATTTTTATTTTACTGTTACGGGTCACAGATTGTGATTAGAATAAAGTGTTTGGTACCATTGTAAAGCTAAGATTCTTGTAGCTGAGTTCTTGTAGTAATCATTACATGTCAATCTGATCACATACACATTCTCAACAAGCTTCGGAAAAGTGTTGAAATTCACTAAAAAGTCAGGCGGTGGCTGATACTATTTTTTCAAACCCTGGAGGTCAGAGTGTTAGAAGATACTTTTTTTGGTTATAAAGCGAGAGAAGTATATATTTTAACACTACGGCCAACCCCTATTCAGGGGACAACCCCTATTAATGGCACACATTTTTTGGTCCCGAACGTGTCCCCTTAATAGGGGTTCTACTGTAATTGTATCAATTGTTAATAAATTTGTGGGAGCGGTTTGCGCAAAAGTTGCAGTTCTAATGCTCAATCTTGAGTCAGGGTTTTGACCCTTTGCGGGGCATTTCGTTTGTGTTCTTGGTCAAACTAGCACTTAATCCACATTGTCTCTCCACCTAGAAGTATAAGGGGGTGCCTATTATGGTTGCAATGCAAAATGTGCTGATAAGCGGCTGCAATGTTATGGAATATTCCAAAGGCAACTGAGTATGTGTTTTATAGCTGT